TTTTTACCACGAATCGAGTTTTGCCAGTGAATATTAGCAAATGAAAACACTATTCCTAGAATATTATGGTCGGATGAGTCAATATTTACTAGGAATGGTGCTTTTAATTTCCACAACATGCAGCACTGGTCAGATGAAAATCCAAAAGTTGTTCGCCGTACAAATTTCCAACATAGATTTTCATTGAACTTATGGGCAGGAGTAATTGGGGATCAAGTAATTGGGCCTATTGTACTTCCCAATCGTCTTAATCCAGAGGTGTATCTGAACTTTCTTCAGAATGAGCTCATGGATATAATACCATTGGATGTGTGCCAGCAGTTTCAAGAAAATATGTTTTTTCAACATGATGGCGCCCCTGCACATTTTGGACGCAATGTTCGAAATTGGTTGAATGTCAATTTTCCAGACAGGTGGTTAGGCCGAGGAGGTCCTATAGCGTGGCCGCCACGTTCAGCTGACCTAAATCCATTGGATTTCTATTTTTGGGGGTCACTAAAAGACCTAGTTTACTCGACTGAAGTAAATACTCAAGAAGATTTACTTCAAAGATCAGATCAGGCTGCAAATGAAATAAGAAGAAAAAGGTTTTCCACTTTTCGTTCGTCGAGCGAGACTCTGTATCCGACAAAATGGGAATTTATTTGAACACTTATTGTAGAGCTAGTTTTAAGTATATCCAACTGTATGTCTTCTTTTTTAAACAGATTTCAATTTCGTTCGTAGAAAAAATTTATTTCTTTTGTTTTAGCCTAAATGTTAGCTATGTTGCAAAAGAAATATGTATTTATGTAATATCTACCAAGTATTAAATTAGTTTTTTCGTTGCCATGGCTAATTATTCAACAATTCATTTAAATTCGCAGTACATTTCCTATCATGTGAAAATTTTGTTAGTTTGATTTTATCAAAAAATGGCACAATCTATAGATATTCAATAAGAGTACCTTTTTTATGGAAAAAACCCTAAATTTTCAAATTCTAAAATCGAATTTCAAAAATAGAATCATCCAAAATGTTTGGGCTAAAATAACCTGAGTCCGTCCATGTTACATACGCTTCCAAACAAAATTGTTAATATTTTTAAATCCAGCATAAAAAACTAGGCTAGAATACCAACTGTTATGTCTTTATCTCAACACATTTCGGAAATATTAAGGAAAAACCATCTTCAGGGGAGCCCCTTTAAAAGACCGTAGCGTAGCGCCTTAGGGGACGTTTGTCAACCTATGTTTATAAAAACTTTTCTTCCTATTTTAAGCTCTAGAAACCGCTGGTAGAATATTGCACACTTTTTTATAGCAGATATATAGCATTTTAACAAATAATGTTTTTTTTTTAATTTGCTCACTTATATGACGTATGACGTTAATGGTTGAACGATCACGTGAATGTTCATTTTTCAGTTTTGTCAATGTCCGAGCATTATGTTATGTTGATATTTTCATTTCAAAGTCTTTACGTTATGGACCATAATGACAACATGGATAAAATGCAAAACGTGTAGAAAACATTACGGTATTTGCATTATTGAAAAAAAGACTAAAAAAAGAACCAACGCAAACATTGATTATTAAAACCTGGATTTAGACATGACAATAAAGTATTTGTTGCTTTAATCTCAGCAATAGGTTTGGATGTATTTCATTGTTTAACAGGTTGACTGCCACGGCAGGCGCGGACGACCGCTCAATATGTATCCTATTCTGCCACGGCGGTCGTATACGACCGCTATCGTACGGTGCTACGTTTATATTCTCTGCGTGCCAGCGGTCGAACTCAGAATCAGTATAAGCGAGCAATTCGACCGCTATGGCATACGGGCCTAGGGTATTGATCCGAATTCATGTATATCTGTTTGATTTGATGAAAAAAGTTACCCAGATTTGTCATATGCATTTTTATTGTTCAAACTCAAATCACACTACAAAATGTAACAGACATAGGGCAAAAAAGCTTAGATTCACTTGTATAAACAAAATAACGGTTCATTTTACTTTGCATGAGTGGTATTGAAACAGTTCAGACAGAAATGTGGCTGATCGTCACACACTCCACAGAAAGTTACAACTTTCTTCACGCAGTTTTTAGTTATTTCTCCTCGCAATTTCTTGGCATAACACCCTTTACAGTACTTTCTCACTTTGTCAAATTGACCTTCTTTCCTGCACAATGTATGGATTTTGGCTGTCTTCTTGGTTATTTTTTCCTGACGTACATCAAGTTCCCCTGCATCGCCGTGATCCGTAAAAAGAGACCTAATTACTTCTTCTCTAAATTCTGGAATCTTCAATTTTTTGTTTGCTAGCAGATTATAAACTATGTGTGCATTTACAAGCGCTGTGCCCAAGAGGAACTCAATGGCAAGTTTTCGATACCACTTTAGAGACTTCCTTACAGGTGAATGGTAGCTTGCCATCTGGTCAGATTGGTCAATCGACGACTTGGCTTCATTGTATTCCATCACTGCTCGTGGCTTTTTGACAATACCAGTACGTCGTTGAACATCTACGGTTTCGGTGGTATGCTTAGTGGATAGAAGAAGGACATCTCTCTTGTCCTTCCACTTCAGCACACACACACCTCTGCCATTTTCTAGCCCAAAAATTTCGCCTTTCTTTAGTTTTTTCAGAATAACTTCTTTTGGATTGCCTCGCCGATTTGCTCTTAGTGTACCAATATAATGTGTCTTATGGTCAAGAAGTATATTCGCTAGCTCGAGACTGGTGTAGTAATTATCGGCAACAGTAGTTCTACCTGTATCAAGTAAGTCTTGTGACAACTTAAGCACAATATTTGTTCCCACAGACGCATCTCTCTCTTGTTTTTCTTTGCCAGCATATATTCTTATATTCCATGAGTATCCATTATCGCTACACAGTTTGAACAATTTCACGCCATATTTATGCGTCTTGTTTGGAATGTATTGTTTGAATAGGAGACGGCCTTGAAAAGGAACAACAGACTCGTCAATGCAAAATGTTCTACCAGGTGTATAAATTTCTTGAAATTTCTTCACCAACGCATCCAATAAAGGTTTGATTTTATGCAAACGATCACCCTCTGGACAGTCGTTATTATCAGAGAAGTGCCACATTCGTAAGAGCAGCTGGAATCTATTTCTTGACATAACTTTTGGAATAATAGATATCTGGAAAAGTTCGTCAGTACTCCAATACTTTTCTAATGATGGCATCCTAACCATGCCCATGTATGCTACAATGCCAATAAATTTTAGCATCTCACCTTTATCGGTTGGAACCCAACGATGTAACCTTGATTCTCTACTCACATCCTCAGCTTCGAACAAAACTTGGGTTGCATATAGATTGGTCTGATTTACCATTTCATTTATGATTTCATCATCGACAAAATAACGAAAGCAGCTGTATGGAGATAAATTGTTGATAAGAACTGCAGCATAACCTGCGTGTAAACCGCTTTCGGCAGAATAATCAAACACTTGGTGATTGCCCACAGGCTCTCTCCAAGTGTGTTCATTCTGGTCAGCAGCTTCTTCCTCATCTAACACGTTTTCAAGATTGTCTCCAGTTTCAGTCGATGAAACATTGAGATTCTGTGTCCCGTCTTCATTTTGTACCCCAGCTTCTTGAAATTCGGCCACTGGAAGTGATTTTGAACAGCACGGTTGATTCTCAAAATTGTATACTTGTTCTGGTCTTTCCCCTGTCGTTTTTGTAAATTTCTTTTTCTGTCCTATTATTTCCGTAAGAGATATGTCAGAGCTATCAGATAGTTCGTCATTACTAGATGGCAGAAACATAGGATCCAAATCGGAATCAACTGCACTGAAAGGATCCGAATCGCTTTCATCATCTGTAAATAAATGAACTGAACTTACTACGATTTACTAGCAAAAACCACTAAATTTGCAACAATATTGCGTAGAATGTAATTCTATATTCATATAAAATCTTACCTGTATGCTCCTCCATCTGAAGGGCCAATTCTACAATTTTTTTAGATCGGCTACTCATTTTTAGAGTTTGAAAACTAATGCACTCACTATGCTGCTTGTTGCGTTCAGCGTTCTATGCATCCTAACCCTAAATGAGTGTGCGCGCTTGCTAATCCCGACTGTAACATAACGTAGAGACGAGTTCAAACTCGCAAGAAACGACCGCTCATACGACCGCTCGGGCATGGAGGGCATATATATGCCGTCCATGCCCGAGCGGGCGTATAAGACCGCTAAACCATTTTGCAAAATTTTCATTGCATTTTGAAAAATTGGGAGGAATAAGTTACTAGCATGCTTACAGAATACTATCAGGCGTATTATTTTCAACTTGGCACCAGATGATATTTTTAATTTTTTTCCTGGCAGTCAACCTGTTAAGAACGACCTCTTATCGCCGCGTTTAATTGCAATATTTTCTGTGAATCGCCGGCACATTTCATCAGATTCAGTGCTGATTTAGTTAATAAGATAACTCTACATTCTACGTTACCACTATCCGCCGCTTTTTGACAAGCATTAACGTTATCTCCCATCCAACGCTGTCAAAGTGCTCTTGTATGTTTTATCCACATTGCCCAAATTACATCGGCATGACATTATCGGCCGGATATTATGGATAATGTCCAACTAGCCTGGGCATTGTCATCACGGATCGGCTAGTAGCGCAATTCTTCAGTTTCTCAACTTTCTCTAATATGCTCCCCTTTTCCGTTTATCTGTTATCTTTCTGATAGCCCTCGGTATCTTTATAACTCGGAAAATGTACACAAGCTCACTATCATGTTAGGTACGACAAAATTCGGTGCAGTACCAGCCGAGCTTCAGAGGAGAACGTCCCCAAACTTTGAGGTTCTTCTATTTCCGAGTTTAGGAATAACCAAAGCTTTTCAGTTTAGTTCAAAATCTTTTAGGATGTCAAACGCTTCGAAATCAGGAGTTGCTAATGTTTCACTTATCACTAATCGTGCCTAAAACTTTCCTGCACCTGGAATTCGGGTATCGAAATAAAATAACTACATGGAATTCAAGATTTACTGCCACTAAATAGTACACAGCCTATGTATACACATGATCATCTTTTTTCGACCCATACTTTTGGTCCGTGCTTCATTCTTAGAAGCATGGTCATCTTTAATTCGATGTCTGCGACTGATTTGTATTCAGAGAAAAATTTCAAACGTCTGATAGCATGGGCTAAAATTACTTTCATATTCATCATTGCGTATTTACTACCTACAAGAAGGAATTAATTTTTTCATATATTCGTCTGATAATCGATTTTTAAATGCATACCTATACAACTTCGAGGGCCCTGAGAAAATCCAAAGTAAGTCGACGGAGGTCTCTTTGCCACATTTTCTGGCAAAAACCTGTCTGGATCAAACTTCAACGGATCTTCATAAATTTCGCCATTTCTATGAATGTACAATAAAGGAACAGCGACTGATACTCCCTCTGGTATAATGATATTGTCACCTGCAATTTATTTTGGAAATAAAAAGTCGTCTATCAAAATCTTATAGTATCACAACAGCTACGTGTATTTTGCAGAACAACAGTATAAAGGGTATTCCAACGGATACTCCGGGATTTTGTTTTTGAATAAATCAACAATTTTGGAAAATATCAGGCTTGTTATCTTATTCCTTGGTTTTCATGTTAATAGAACTCCAGGACCTTCCAGAAGATGGGAGTTGTGTTTCACTGGCTTTTACCAAATTTTAGCAGACCGGAATTTCATACAGGCAGTGGTGTCAAGGTGATTCAACCCACTGCATTGTTAAAATAAAGTACTTACTACGTCTAGGCATAATTCTAGACAAACACTTAAGTGCAATTTAAGTGCAAAGCATATATAGAGTACCTAATGAAGGGACTGAAACGTGTTATTGCAAAATTCAGATTCTTTAGAATTCTTCTAGATAAAAATATCTCTATTATTTTAACTATGCTCTTGTTTATCTTCTACTAAAAAAGCAGGAGCACGAATCTGAAGTCAGTATTGGAAGGGTGATCAAGTAAAAAAGTAGTTCAGGCATTAAGTTCACACATTTTGACATTTTTGGTGGATGTGCATCTCTTCAGAGGTGTCTGGGAGATGCGCATCTACCAAAAATACGAAATTGTGATGTCTAAATTGCTTTCATAATTGTCCATCTGACACCAATTTTGAATTCAGATTCGGATTCGTGTCGTATTTATGCATTTTCCCCAAAATGTGTCCATCATCGTCCCAGATTTGCGTGAAAAAATACATGGGAAGAACATAGTCGGAGGACACACCACGCGTGCTTATGTTGTGGGTCTAACACTAGCCGTCAAGGTCGAAAATATTATACCACCATAAGACTACTATGGTCCATAATTTCATCGTTATTCGAAAGTCTTGATCACGGAAAAATAATAACAAGACCCAGGTCTGAAAGCTCCTATTCTGAACTTGCTGACTTCTGAAGTTGTTTTTCTATGGGCTAGCATTTTCTACTAAACATTCGAAATACTTGAACCGAATCATTGTTAATTATACTAAGTGACATATAAATCCGAACACCCAGTTTAAATGGTTTTATTTTAATAAAATTTTGTATAAGTACTTAATGAAGCATAATAAGTAAATGATAAAAATTTCAAAATGATTGCACTGCTTTAAAGCCCTTTGACCTTTAATAATGTGTGGATGCACCCTGATGTGCTACTCATTCTCCAACGCGTCTAGGCATGCTTCTGATCAGGTGGTCAATGTCCTCCTGTGGTATCTCATTCCAGGCAACCACCAACTCCTCTCGAAGTGCTTCTAGAGTCTCAGGAGGACGTTGCAAATTGAGCAATCTCCTACCCGTCATATCCCACACGTGCTCAATTGGGGATAAGTCGGGAGATCTTGGTGGCCATGGTAACAATGTGACATCATTATGTTGAAAGAAGTCTATTGTGACTCTTGCAACATGTGGTCGGGCATTATCTTGTTGGAAAGTTGGATCTACCAGGGTGTCAAGATAGGGTAAAAGATGGGGTTCTAGAACTTCGTGGATATAACGCTGCGCGTTCATGTTACCTCTGATGAAGATTAAAGGTGACCTGGAACCATAAGCTATAGCACCCCAAACCATAACTCCAACAGTGTGATGAACATGTCTTTCAACAAAAAACTGTTGATTCCTCCTTTCACCACGTCGCCTTCTAACCCTGGCACGACCATCGTGCATGCCTAAACAAAATTGAGACTCGTCACTAAAGACAATACTGTTCCATTCCTGATCCCAGAGTGACCGTTGTCTGCACCACTCAAGGCGATTGCGTCGGTGTTCTCGAGTTAAAGGGAGGACCCAGTGTGGCCAGGTATGAAAACAAGCCAAAACTTCTCATTCGTCAGTAAACACTTCGCATGCCAATAGGTCTTCCGTGTTCTGCAAACCATTCATTTGCAATGGACCTGGTAGTGGAGAAATGGTCCCTTAAGGCCAATAATCTTAGGCGGCGATCTTCACGGTCTGTTGTTCTACGGCGGCGTCCAGTGCCCCTTGCTCTTTGCGTACGGCCTTCTCGAAGCCATGCCTGACAACACCTAACCACAGTGTCTACACTTCTTTGCACTCTAACTGCAATTGGCCGAAAAGAAAGTCCAGCTTCCCGAAGTCCCACTATACGGCCCCTATCGAACTCACTAAGTTGACGAAATCGTACAGGTCTCCGTACTCTAGGCGTCGTAACCGATCGTAAAGGATGTCAAGAACCAAAATCCGCCAACGTTGATTCTTTACTGCGGCTGAAATATTCATTTTTAGAGCGTTAGTGAATTAAAAAAAAAGCAGTATAAAAACCGGAATGTCCAACTGATAAGGCTGTAAATTTTTTCACTTGTTATTTACAGTAAGATAAATACATTCACCAACTTTTATTAAAATAAAACCATTTAAACTGGGTGTTCGGACTTATATGTCAGTTAGTATATAAAACAGGATCCAAGCAAAATTCAGTGTTTATTCCACAAACATCAAAAACAATTGCTTAACATCCTCTTTTTTACTCAGAAGCAAAATTATAAATATTAATGCTTGAGTCATTAGAAACCATTATTGAAATCTTGAGATCATTTAAAAAATAATACATTGACTTAATTATAATTGTCTGGGCATTTTTCCTAATATACCTGTGATCAAAAAGTAAGGTCAAATTTTTTATAAAATGTAAATTCTTTAGTTATGCTTCCATATCAATTTCATCCCTTCACAGTAATCCCCGTACGATAAAACGCACTATTGCCAACGCTTTTTCCAGTCGGAATTGTCTTTTTCCGGTGTAGCCTTCAAGACCTTCTTCGATTCGGCTTTTATCTCCTCAATCATTTCAAAACGGCGTTCCGGATTGGCCTTTTGAGTTTGCTGAATAGCCAGAAGTCGCACGGAGCCAAATCAGGCGAATACGGTGATTACGGACGATATGAGTCGAGTCGCGAAGAACCAATGAAGTATGATATGGCGCATTATCGTGATGAAGAAACCAAGAATTGTTCCCCCATAATTCCGGCGAACAGCTTCACGCAAATGACGCATAACGCTCAAATAATATTCTTTGTTGACAGTTTGGCTCGACGGAAGGATTTCATAGTGCACCACACCACGATAATCAAAGCAAACTGTCAACATGACCTTGATTTTAGATCGACTTTGTCGTGGTATTTTCGGTCTTGCTTCACCTTTTGCACGATATTCGGTGAATTGGCCGGTGGTTTCAGGGTCGAATGCGTAAAGTCCAAGTGTCGTCTCCAGTAATGATGCACTTCAAGGAGTTCTGATAGTCAGAAGTTCCACACAAATCAACACGACGCTGATTTTCCAAAAAATTGAGCGATCTTGGCACCAATCGAGACTTGACTTTGATTTGTTGGACGTGGTCCTCGTCGGTAGACGTTGATGGTCGTCCAGAGCGCGGTTCTCGACCCGCTTTGAACTCGTTGTACCACTTATAAACGTTTTTTTGTGCCATAGTTTGATCACCAAAGGCCTTCCGCAACATTTTCAACGTGTCCGCACAAGAATATTCGTTCCGAAAACAGGTTCTTTGCTCAACAACATCACCCATTATAAAAATCGAAAAATTCGCTTTTGGTTGTTTACAAAAACACGTGTAACTCAGAGATAATTAAACCTCTTGACAAACAGACGCTTGTCAAATGTTATAGACAGTCTTACCATTCTAGGTTAAAAGAATTTACCGGCCTTCCTAATGCCCGGGAGTTTTAAATGACAATTTCACCTTAGTTTTTGATCACAGTCAGTATTCATTCAACTCACGTTGTTCAGTTATTCATTATACTTTTAGTTCCTACAAACCCAAATACAAGGGCATGATATTTAGGTATCTTACTTGTGACAACAAATACTATTCCCCAGGTACCCACAATTTCACCAAAGACTTGTAACATGTTTTGCTTTGGCTTTTAGTCGTCTTTTGTTGTTTGAATAGGCATTATCCTTGAATTATTCCCACAAAAAATGTCAAGGCTGGTTAAATTACATATTTTCTCACCGGATTGTGACGAATGCCAAAAATTACGCGGCTTTCACAAAAACCTACATGTCGCAATTTCAAAGCTTCCCTCTGGAATTTATCTTGCTAAAGCATATCATTAAATGGATATAGATAAGCACACTAACATTTATTATTGTCATAATGCTCGTCACGAATATTAGTTTAATCATATTAGCAAATTTCCCCGAAATAATTGTAAAGTCTTGTTTTATTGGTGCAAGTTGTTCAAGGGGGTATTTAAAACATGAATGTATAAAATGGGTACGACAATTTTTGTGGAAAAACTTTTTATTTGACAACAAAGAATGATAAAACGTGTTTTTTGGGATTTAATCGAAAGTGTTGACAGGAACAAAAAAACTTTATATAAGATTTTTAGGTATTTATGAGACCTACAAAATGAGACTACACGTAAAAAGATCCGACTAATAGCAAAAATGTTATGGCCGAAAAACGAAGCAAAATGATGGTTTTGGCACTTGTTGCTAATGCGACGATAATTTCACGCAACTACTTGAAAATCTGCAAATCCATAGGATTCATACTTCTAAATAACAACAACCAAATTGGATTATATTGGTCAAGTAGTTTTTTGAGAATTTTTAATAGTTTATCCCAAAACACCTGTTTTTCGGCCATCTCTACTAGTGAGCAATCCACAGGGTTCGTTCAAAGAGCATTTAATAGCAAAATACACGTGTTTATCCTGCCGATATGAATCACAAACCATTTCGAAAGATAAATGTTATTTTTATCCGAAAAACAAAAGTTCTAAAATTCAAACATGTCGTACTTGTGAGCAATTGAACAAATGCACTACGATATTCGAAAAACATATGTTACTATACCCATTTTAAAACGAAGCGGATCTGTGCATCACCTTTTGTTGCGAATTACTCACAAATACGACATGTTTAAATTTGTTTAGAGGAAAGAACGTAACCCATCCTTTTTAGCATAAAAATAACATTTATCTTCCAAAATGGTTTGCGATTCATATCGGCAAGGTAAACTAGTGCATTTTGCTATTATATGCACTCTGAACTAACGCTGTATATTGCTCAATAAGCTAGTAGTGATGGCCGGAAAATAGGTGTTTTTGGATAAGCAACTGTCAAAAACTACTTGACCAATCTACTCTAATTTTGAAGTACAAATCCTACGAATTTGGAGAATTTCAAATATCTGTGAAACACCAACAAGTGCCAAAACGTGCAGTTTGCATCGGTTTTCGGCCATAACTTTCTTGCTATTAGTCGGATCTTTTCAAGTGTGAGCTCATTTTGTAGGTCTCATAAATACCTAAAAATCTTATATGAAGAGTTTTTTCGTTCCTGCCAACAATTTCGATTGAATGCAAAGAAGCACGTTTTCTCATTCTTTGTTGTCGAATAAAAAGTTTTCTCACAAAAATTGGTGTACCCATTTTATGCGTCCATGTTTTTGAATACCTCCTTGAACAATTTGCTGCAATAAAACCAGACTTTACAATTATTTCGCAAACCAGGGGTATTTTCGTCTAATATGATATTTACCGGTTCGTCATCGAAAGTTTCATGGACAGATAAAAGTTGACCGTCCTGGTACGTTTGCACGATTATTTTTGTATGTCTTTCCGCCGTAAAACGATTCATAATTGATTTACCTGGTCTTTAGATTACACATGCACAATATGAAATATACCGAGTGACAAAAAAAAGGAAACACGATTTTAATAATTTTTGGGGTATATGTTCAGTGTCCCTTACTAGTAAAATGATAAAATTTTCGGCTTGATTCGTCAACTGACTGCAGAAGCTGGTTCAGTAATGTGTTGAGGATCCACGATTTCTTATACACACATTGTCACGCCTGGGCATCGTGCTGATAAGGTGGTCGATATCCTGTTGGGATATCTCATTCAAGGCTACTGCAACTTCGTGAGTAAGAGCTGCTAAAGTCTGTTGAGGTTGTTGCAAATTCAAAAGCCTGCGACCTATCATGTCCCAAACATGTTCAACTGGAGATAGGTCAGGCGATCATGGTGGCCAAAGTATACGGTTGATACGATGTTGATCCATGAAGGCTAACGATGCTCTGGCAACATGCGGACTGGCATTGTTTTGGTCAAAAATCGGGTTTTGGATGGTGTTTAGGTCTGCAATAAGATGAGGTTCCACTACTTCCTGAATATAGCGTCGGGCTGTCATATTTCCTCTGATGAAAATTAGTGATGATCTGCTACCATATGCAATAGCAGCCCATACCATAACTCCCACGGTGTGGTGAACGTGACGCTCTCTGACAAATTGTGGGTCACGCCTTTCACCACGTCACCTTCTCACTCTTGCCCGACCATCGTGCATCCCCAGACTCAGGATTCGTCACTAAAGACCACCTGATTCCATTCGCTGTCTCATAGAATTCTTTCTCTACACCAGAGCTAACGGTTACGCCGATGTTGAGCTATGAGAGGTAGCACCCAATGTGCCGATAGGAAAAAGGCCATACTGTCGTATTCGGCGATATACCGCACGCATACAAACCATCCTTCCATGCTCCTCAAATCACTGATTAGTGATGGCTCGAGTACTACTGAATCTGTCTCTCAGAGCCAGAAGTCTTAATCGGTGGTCTTGTCGCTCTGTGGTCACTCTGGGACGTCCAGAACCCCTCGCTCGTTGTCCTCGCCCTTCCTAGAAACTTCTCTTATCGATAGACCGGCTTCACGCAACCCGAGAATTCGACCCCTCTCAAAATCACTTAGCTGAGATACCCGGCGAATTGTACGCACTTTAAGCATTTTTAGCAATCACAAAAAGGCTTCTCAACAAGCTACTCGAAATTTAACGTTTAACTGGTACCGTAAATGCACGAAAACTGAATGGCTTCTTTATCACCAAACAACACACGCAGCCCCACCACATAAACTTAACAGAAAAACCTGACTATTTTATCACTTGTTGTTCTTGGCAAGATACATTGATATGTAAAAAATTCTTGAACTCTAATAAACATACGTATGTGTTTACCGTTTTTTGTCACTCAGTATACATACTTAAAGTCACTGAACAATAGTGGCAAATTAAAATCCCGAAGCACTTGTTAGGTCACCCTTCAGAGATTACCAATGTCTATGTCTCCTGACACGTATCTAGACATGACAGGTCCGGCAGGAAATAACCTTAAGGTTTCTTTGATTACTCTTTCGGTGAGCTCCATTCTGATAAGGTCTTGTGGCATTACTTCTCCCTCTACACCAACTACATCAATGATTTCCTTGTATACTTCTTCCTATAGAAAATTAAAGTAATCACTATACAAACGGTAACTCAAAATCCCATTAGAAGCATTGAATCAACATCGCTTTGGGCGATTATATCAAAGAACTTTCACTCAAGATCTGTACTACATAATAAGCCCTACAAATTCGTTAGGGCTCCAGTTTTTTAACCTCTAAGTAATTTGGATGCTGTGCTGTCTAACAAATGCTCCCACTTGTTTACAACCATAGAGCCACACTGATGTTCATAAACAACAATAAAAAAAACTAATCGAAATCGTTTAAACGGCCGCGAATCGACATGTACTTCATGGGATATTTTTTTCTGGATACGTCAGCATCAATCGACATTGTTCCAGTAACTATTAATCAATCACGCATTCAGTGATGAGATTGAATGCTGAGGGCAGATGCTGACCAGTTCGGCAACAGCTTTTCTGGAATCTAGTGATATCAACCACTTCATCTTAAATCTCTTTCTGTTAGTGTTTTTTGTTTTTACCTGTACATCACGATATATCCCTAGCATGGTGAGTATGGCAGCCAGGGCATTAGTAGTGGTTTCTGTTGCCTAAAGAACAAATATACTCAGTGAAAAATAAAATGGAGCACCTAGCTAGAAATATTTTTCTTTAATTAAATTTTGTATGCAGTTAGAGTTAGTTACTGTATGCCTTTCATGAGGTGAGATGAAGTATTTCATCCTAGGCCAGCTGTACTTGATACCAAAAAGCTATAAGCGGTTGTTAAGGAAGAGGTAAAGAAGCCATCATATCTCACACATGGGCAAAAGTTCTCGAAATCTTGGAGGCCAAGGAAGCATGCAATCTACAGATTAACTAATCAAACATTTAACCCCACGAAAATTAACAACAATTTCAGCAGTCGATAGATCTTGGTTATGCAGTTTTGCGGTTGGCTAGTCGTAAGTATGAATAATACTTACTGCTAATATGAACGTGTTCACCTCATCCCTGATTTCATTTTCATCCAAATCTGTATTTTCTATGAGCGTATCCAAAAACGCGTGTTTTTCAGGAATATCTCCTACAATGCGTAACAATGAATTGAAATATAAACTGTATTGTTGGTTGTTGTAGATGCTAGTTGTCCCCAGAAAAAGAATTTACAAAATTCTCATGTATTTACTGTCTTGCTAACAATAGGTGTTTGATGTTCTGTGATAATAATCAGAAAGTCTGCTGTAATCGGCTTATCATACTTACCATAATTGTTTAATATACCTAGCTTTTTTTGCTCATTTGGCTTTTCGTCTTTAATTTTCTTTTTGATAACCTACAACGTGAAAGTGTATGTAAACTGTATCCCTTAACAACTTCAACATTTGATGAACCAACTGAGATTTCTCTTTAAATCATGATACTTCAAAAACTTCGACAACCGGACCGACAGCAGTAAGTGGGTAGGTCTTTTTAAATGCAAAACAGTTTAATGGCGTGTGAACTGCTAATCCGTTGTTCGTTTTGAGATATGTGGTGCAGAAGATGCCAGTTTTTAGGTTTTTCATCCGCCAGCGGGAGTAAATGTAGCAGGTGTTTATGCTCGTAGATATATATACATAGGGTAAAGTCACTAGTGGATCAATGGAAGTCAGGTGGTAGAGGGTCTCAAAATATATCGAATGAACCCCTATATGTGTGGTCTGAAATCTTATAGTTTAGGAGATATTTGCAATTTTGTGAAATTTCGAAAAAAAAACGGGATAATGAACTTTCAATCGCAATTACAACTAAACTTTAGGGCTGTGATCTTTTTTTGAGATGAGCAATGGTTATGTCACTTTTTACAGAGCTAATTATAAATTAACGCACAACGGGTTGAATTTTGTGAGAATATGTTGAGAAGTTGCGAAGAAACCTTTTTCGAGAGCACCTTATGGACAGATGAATCCAACTTTAACCGACATGGAATATTCAACATGCATAATTTCACCGCATGTATTTTCAATGCGATGGTGCCCCATGTCACTTTGCACGGGATGTACGGTATTACTTAGACAATGTCTTTCCTGGGTGTTGGATAGGTAGAGGTGGACACATACGACGGCCTCCAGGGTCACCCGAGATCCGCCGGGTGGTACCTCTACGCTCGACGGTCAGGGACCCTGTATCATTCATCGACAATCATAACTCCCTCAGCCAAGAGAAAAATCCTCTGCGGAAGTATATGCCGAAAAGCGTACTTGAAATATAGTGTGTTTAAAAGTTTGGTCAAACGACAGTTTGCAATCCGTAAAAGACCACTGACGTACTTATAAAAGTCTAATAGATCAGATTATAGTTCAACATTATTTTCCCAGCTGGTTCTAACAAGCTAAGAAGCATACTTAAATTAGCTACCTCACTAATAATACTCCCAAATCTGTTTATGTAATCCTGGTACATCTTTTTCTTCCCTGACAAGTACCATATAACCTCGAAGTGATTCCATAATATTAATGTTTTTTCTGTGAAGAGGTGTATCTGCCTGAAGTAAATGCGACTGATTATTTTCATTTATTCTTTCGTTGGAAGAATTGAGCTCAAAAATGAAAAAAGCACTTTTGTTATGTGGATAACATAACCGGGAATACCGCAATACCGTGAATTTATAAGAGTGTTCCAAATTCAACTCTCGCCACTGAAATCTCGGAAATGATTGGAGATACGAAGTCTGTTTAAAGAGGGCAATGCTGCGTATTTTAACAAAAAAATGGCACTAAAGCAGTTTCGTAATTCCGAGTATTTCCGGAGAAAGAGGAGAAAATGGATTCTTTTTAGAATCGCACCATTTTTGCTGGCTTGATTTGAGGCGGAATTTCAAAATATAAAGTATATTAACATTGCCTCTTAATCTCCTCAACAAGATAACTAGAATTCCAGTATGACATCCGTCTCTTGTCCTCAATCATCAACTTCATTTTTTCTTATAGACGCCAATTGGATTTTTGCACAGGTAAACAGATTTTCTAATTATGATTCCACAAATGTACAATAAGTAATTTATTGACATTGTCAAACAATTATTTCAATGAAATTAAGTTGTATTTGAAAGTGCCATGTTCATCCAGCTAAAATGCCAGTACTTCAATTTCTCATAAGGGTGTTAAATTCAGACTTACCACATGAACCTCGAAATTTGATTTCGTTGGTATACTTTAAACAAAACGAAATAAAAGCGCCTGTTGCAGTATAATCATCGTTCCAGCTGATTATTTCAAAAAATAATAAGGGGTATTAGGCAGTGATATCTCGGAACACTTATAAATTGTCAGTATAGGAAGGAAGTCAAGATAAATCAATGTTGACACAATATGGGTCATCGAAAAGTATTTCTTGGACTGTAACTAAAACTTACTTGTCTAAAACTTCATCAAGTCTGCGTTCTAGAGATTCAACATCTAACTCCACCCCCATAGAAGTTTCTAGAAATGGAGAGTTTATAAGAAATGTATGATTCCACTTAATTGGTACATGATTCTTCTTAGAACATTTCACTTGAAACAAATCTCTGGGTTGAAGATACTGGCCATTATAGTCCCAATTCAATATTCAAGTCCGATGCTATACAGGGTGTAAAGTTAGTAGTGGATCAACGGAAGTCAGGTGATAAGGGGCCTCAAAACATATCGAATGAACCCTATATGTGCGGTCCGAAATTTAATAGTGCAGGGGATATTTGAAATTTTGTGACATTTCGAGAAAAACGGGATAATGAACGTTCAATCTCAATTACAACTAAACCATTAGGCTTAGGGCTGTGATTTTTTTGAGATGAGCTAAATGGTTATGTCACTTTTTAACAGAGCGAATTAGAAATCAACGCAAAAAAATCATAAATTCATTTTTTTGTGAAAAATCTCAACTTTGGGGGACGGTAAAAAAAATTGAGGTTGTATTTCATTATTCATTTTATTGTAAAAAATATTTCAATGCATGTAGAATAAACCCTGATAATTTCAGCTTACCATGATAGGATACCTCACCTTGAAAAATGTGTATGTTTGACCCAGGTGAGGTACTGTTAGATTCGTCATAGCAGTGCGGGTGATACTGTGTATATTAACATTTTATAAAATCAAAGTGGCGGATTTTTTACGCAAATAGCCAAATAAGCTTCATTAGCTTGGGCATTCAACTCGGCATTCCAGGTGCGGGAGCGTTCAATCTTAGGTCCGACCGAAATTACTAAGTCAGGCAATGGTCCAGCCAGAGCGGAATTTGTATCTAACGTTTGGCATCTGAGTAGAATCATGTGATATTCTCCGCGAGATTATGCAGAAATGCATTACCATTATTTATAGTGCTGCCCTAGGAAATGCTCGAGCAGCTGCTCGCATGTATCGGTAGTATGTGGTTAGAAGAGGTGGACCACAACCGGCGGTATATCCCGGCTACCGCGTTGTTCTACGCGTCCATAATGCGTTTATGGAGGGCCGCATACTAGGCACAGATCGTCAGCTAGGAGCGCCGATGATACGCCCAGAAGAAATAGAAGATATAATAGAAGAAGCCGAGAGAGATCCCTCTGTAAGCACCAGAGCCATTTCCCGAAGCAGAAACATATCCTTCAGTGCACACAATAGTACGCTCAGAGAACATGCTTTCTTTCCATGTACAAAAAGTACGAGAATTGCTTCCAAGCGACTATGCACAACCGGTTGAATTTTGTGAGAATATGTTGAGAAGGTGCGAAGAGGATGAAACTTTTCGACAGCATCTTATGGACAGATGAATCAAACTTTAACCGAAATGGAATATTCAACATGCACACTTTCCATTCATGGAGCGTGGAAAATCCACACGCTATTTGCCGACACAGCTTTCAACGTCAGTTCGGCGTTAATTTATGGGCTGGAGTACTCAACAAATATTAATTGGACCATATGAATTGCCCGCCAGGTTGAATGGTCAATATCTTGCAAAGCAGTTTTCATGAGCTGCTAGAGGATGTAGAGATGGACACATACGATGGCCTTCAAGGTCACCTCTAGATTGTTTATATGGTGGTTTTAGAAAGGGGTAATCTATACATCTGAATATACGAATGTCAACCAGCTGCACCAGAAAATTGATGAAGCAGAAATAAAAATCATGGAAAACGCAAATTCATTTCAAATACTAAATGACAATTTTGTTAGAAGGTGTCGCTTGTGTATAAAAAATAATAGATGCCAATTCGACCATGTTCTTTAAAAGTTAGTTATATTAAATTATCTTCCACAATTTGTCGGTAAATCATCATAAAGAGCGGCTAAACACAATAATTTCTGTACTTGTAGGTGGTAAGGATTCTATTGCGTTTCTTACATTTATCGCATCACAACAACGAATGTGACATGATACACTCATCGTAGCAAGTTGAAATTTCCAGGGTTTATTCTACATGGGTGAAATAGCTTTTACAATAAAATGAATAATGAAATACATCCTCAATTTTTTTACCGCCCTCCAAAGTTGAGAGATGGAAGAGATTTTTCACAAAAAAATGAATTTAAGATTTTTTGCGTTGATTTCTAATAAACCCTGTTAAAAAGTGACACAACCATTGCTAAAACAACCATTCAGAAAAAATCACAACCCCTAGTTGTAATTGTGATTGAAACTTCATTATCCTGTTTTTTATAAATTTCACAAAATTTCAAATATCTCCTGAACTATAAAATTTCGGACCAAACATATAGGGGTTCATTCGATAGGTTTTGAGGCCCACTGTCACCTGACTTCCGGTGATCCACTACTAACTTTGCACCCTGTATACCCTTTGCTGTGCTGTACAATAGTCCAGCAGCGACATGTCTGAGAGCTGCATAGCCCACCATATGGCACTGCTAACGTGGTGTGTCCTTGTGTGCGTGTGTCAGCACTCGAAGACCCACCGCGCTAACAGTGGCGTACGATGCCTTACGATATTATTTCCAATTTTGGTAGATACTATTTTCTCTAATGCATCTATAGTTCAAATAAAATCCGAAACTATATTTTGGTGAGCTACTAAGTTCTTTTCATTAGGCACAATAAAAAATATAATTTTTCTACAACGGATCGGAATACTACGTGTTACGGCTCACTGACAAGCAGTTTTATAGTTTTCGAAGCACCAATCCCAAATAACAGACTTCAAGGTCTAGATCTAGAGTGACAAAATACCAATTTCAGACGTACAGACTACGGAATGCTTTCACATAACCAGACTGTCAGAAATCGGCACAATAACGTGTGTATGCATTTTCTATTTCACAACTAAACGACGGAAAAGGTTGAATTACTGTCAGTGTAAACGAAATTTGATGTGTAATAAACTACTTGCTTTAACCCTTAGAGGCACAACCAAATATTATTATTATTTACCTATGCTGCACATAAAAAATAAACTCGAGTTTTTCTTAATTCAACTCTTTTATTTGAAAAAGTATTACAAAATATGACTCAAAACGATTTTTTAAACTTAATCCCAGGCTCGGTAAAGTGGAGGGGGGGTGGTATAAATGATGTACCTCTGTGCCTCAAATTTTGTAGCTCTACGCCTGAAAGTTATTTTCACTTTAAGTGAAAAATATTTATCATCTTAATGTAAGTTCTTACCTTTTGATGATATTGTTGGAAGCATGTTCTGGACTTTGACAAACACAAAGGTACCTTGAACCGGACCACTCTGTCCGTATCTGCATCTGCTTAGTGCTACATACTGCACAGCGCCTTCTAGTGCTTCTTTCTGGCTGATGGGCTGAACTCTCCAATCTAATTTCCGAGGATACGGTTGGCTTATGTTTTTTAATACATAGCGGCGAACTATCCCTAGTCGTTTTAAGGCCTACCAGTTTCTCAGCAACTAGTCCATCGACTACGGACCTTCTAAAATCTTTGTGAGATATCTGTTGCCCATTTAATTTATAAAGTATATATGAGTTGACTACACAAATATCAATGAAATGGAAGAATATACGATGCCACCATTTACGACTTCTTCGATCTAGTCCAAAGTTAGATTTAAGTTGATCCAATTTATTCACAAATCCCATATTCATATTGTAGTCCAATAAAATACGGGGACAATTTACATCTTCGATTTGCCCATTTCGTGATTTCCTCCTCACGGTTGAGAAAAATTGAGGATCGTGATAGTTTGATAACAAATGTACACTTCTTTTGTCTTTCCACTTGAAAATTGACAAACCAGTGTCACTTATTTTCCAGTCGGTGTCCCCACGTTTCAGTTCCTTATCCGCTTTCATCACTGGAATATTTTTCCTATTGAAAAGTACTGTACCACATGTCCAGATTATTTCGTTTTTTAAATGTAAAAGTAGTTTGTAGGAACAGAAATAATTGTCTATAAATAGACGATGATTTTTATGTTCTAAGCCCCTCATTAAGTCTTTGACCACTCTTTCTCCTAAATTTATTTCAGTTTTATCTCCTACCTTTCCGGTATAAATCTGAAACCTGTACAAATAGCCGGACTGATCGGCGAGACTCCAGACTTTGTAGCCCCTTTTTATAGGCTTTTTTGGTAAATATTGCTTGATAGAACTCCTACCTTTAAATCTAATCATAGACTCATCTATGGCTAGCTTTTCTTGCGGTTCAAAACATCTTTCAAAATTTTCAGAAAGTCTATTCAAAAAAGGGCGAACCTTATATAGCTTATCATAGTTTGGCTCATTTCTACCAGGCATAAGACTATTGTTATTTAGATGTATATGGCTGAGTAGCCATCCAAAGCGGTTTACTGACATTAATTTGCTAATATATTCATCATGTAGGTCTGGGCTAGAACTCCAATAGTCTCTATAGCTGGGCAAAGGTTTTATGCCCATCAAAATGTTGATTCCCAGAAAGACCTCAATTTCGCAAACGTTCGTTGGAGCAAACCGCTTGCCTTCTTGCGTTGCATATAAATTAGTCTCGAAGACAATGTAATTGATAATTTCATCGGTAATAAGACAATTAAAATATTTATATGGCGTTGGACTTTCAATGCTTTTAACTACATCTGTTGGACCCCTTCTGTGAGTGAATTCGGGATCGACATTGACCCAACCATTTTTTTTCCAAACTGGTGGACGAAATTCTTGTACACCCGGCCGGTCTCTGATGATTTGTTGACGTAAAATGGAAAGTGGTATGTCATCTTCCACGAGATCTTCAGCATCGTCGTTCGGTTCATCAGAATCCTCTGAAAGTAAGATTCCATCTTGCAAAGTTTGCTGTAGAAGCTCCGGTTCTTCATAATCCTCTGCCAGAGTCGACTCTTGATCAGAAGGTATGTCAACTTGTTCGATTTCTTCAAGAAATTCTTTGTATGACCAACCTTTCAGCCTGAATGGCAATTCGTCCATTGTCACTGAAATTATATTCAGAATTCAGAATTTCCCCCGAAAGAAAAAATTCAACGAATGCATAATTGTGCAAACAACCATTACTAATTTACCACGACTAACTATCCTTGTAGCACAAAGGTACAATTAACGTACCACCTCATAAGTAACAAAATATCAATAATTATCGTAATTAGGTACTTACCAATTAAAAACAATATTGTGTTATATCCCAGTAAACAACAAATAGTGAATAATATAAACTTTGGACACTGTTTTACATAAATAAATAAGTGATTTATACGTAGCACACCGTTCACCGGCAATGACAACATAGTAACATAACCTAAAAGTTAAAACGTGGTCACCAGCGGACGCGATTTTTCACCCGAATCGTTTGGAACACGGAAACGCGGGTGGTACATATTTTATGGCTTCGTGTCGCAAACAATATGATATTGAAAATGTGGTACGAATATTGTATCATCGTGCCATAAAAGCAGGTGAAATGGTGGTACAATTATTATATCAGCATGCCTCTAAGGGTTGTACTATCTTGAAGTTGAATGATCACGCGCCGAAGCAACATATTTTCCAGTGATACTTTGACAATATTTTTGTAAGCATTCTTAAATATTTGTTGTATTTCTTATATAAATGAAACTGATCTTACGGCAAGCGAGTTCTAATATCATTTTGCCTAGAATAGAGTATACAGGCACATTCCTCTGGCCAACATGTTTTTCCAGTTTCTTTACCAAGTCAACACCTTTTTCATTAAATAGCACTACGAAACTGTCGAGAACTCTCTGGTTAAACGATGGAGTTATGACTTTTCGGTGCCTCTTCCATTTAGCCCCTGAAAAAAACAAGCCACATGTCAGATCAAATGACCCAGTTTGATTTACTAGCAGATTTTAGCGCTGGAACCATAGAACAGAATTCACTTCACATCAATATAATATAGGGTAAACTAAGCAGTTATTGGCATGAACGTTCTCTTACATATGGATGTTGCTTTAAAAGACACAACATGCGGCATTATAGATCAAAACTATAATGTTGTGTTCCTTCAACGTTTTACGTTCCAAATCCACAATAAAAATCCCGATTTTTCCCACCGTTTTTAAAAAAAATGTGTGAAAATAAAAAATTGTAGAAGTCCCAGTCATCGGCACACTTTGCCATCCATCGACACCGACAACATGCCAGTTATTGACACCCGCCAGTTACTATTTAGTACAGGGTGGCCGATATGTAACTTACTGATTTGTATCTTGAATACTTGTGAAATTAAATAAACTACATCCATTTTTTGATCTTAATCTTTTATGGAAACTTAGAAATTATGTATAAAAAATAATACCAGACAAATGTCCGCCTCTAGGAGCCGCTCAAACCTGAGCCTTATTGATTACATTTACTCTCACTAGTTAGTAGGTTTCGGGAGGAATATTTTCAATCGCTTCCGTAATATTGTTCTTCCGCTGCTCTACAGTGTTTCGTTGGCATAAACCCTATTTTTCAAAAATCCCCATAAAAACAGTCAGGGGCCGTTAAATCCGGTGAAAAATGATTTAAACATCCCGGAAATATTGGTCGCAAAAGATTCATTGATTCCTAGCTGCGTGACAAGTTGTTCCGTCCTGCTGGAACCACATGTTTTGCTGGTTAAATTGTTGGATTTGAGGAGCCAGAAAGTTTTGCACCATATACGACCATTCTTCTTCATTGCTCATTATCAGTTGTCGGTGAAAATCTTCGTTTTGAGTATTATAATATTAATAATAATAATAATGATAATGTTTATTGTCCAAACTATAAGCAGATAATTAGAAATGACATATTTTAGAAAAATAAACATGGTAGAAAACCCGCAGAAGGCTAGCCTTGTACGCGGGTATGCATTCGCTTATGAATAATTACGTACTACTAACTAGAAATAAACAGACACTCGTGATTTTATAAGAAAAGAACAATAACAACATTAAATAGGATTTTAAAATACATTATCTGACAAAGTGGGAGTATGGATAACTTCATTTCATTATAGATCCTTTTTAAGGCGAAATGTCTCATTTAGGGCACAAAGTCTATCTAGGGTTATTAGTGTCTTTGTTTTCTGTTCTTTGTTTGGGGATATATCGAGTATGTTGTCAAAATCGGTAAATAAGTATAGCAGGGGTATATTGTCTAAATCGGTGGTGTTGGGTATAGGGTATTTTGTCTGATTCGGTAACTTTATTCTAATAACTGGTTTTCATGTTAAGTGTAATCTTTTTAAATCAACGATTTCATGAATTCTCTGTCTAGGCATAGATGTTATCCAGCCTTTTACTTTCCTTTTAAATGTGTGTTTGGAACGTATCAACTTCAGGTCTTGTGGAAGAAGATTGTAACATCTTGGTTCTAGGTAAGAATACGATCTGAGCATTATATTTTTTTCTGGTTTTGGCACCTTTGAACAATTCCTGTTTCTTGTTTGGTAAGAATGTATCGGCTCTTGGTTGGGAGGACGGGATATGTGTTGCACTATAAAAACTTTCAGTATGTATAATTGCCTTATGTCTAATATACCAGTTTCTTTATAGAGATGGTCAGTTGGATACAGTCGGGGTTTATGAGATATTCTCTTTAAAATACTTTTTTGAGTTATTTCTAATTTGAATATATGAGTTATGTTTGCTGCTTCCCATGCTATTTATAACATAATTTATCTGAGATTCTGCCAGTGCATGATATAGTATTTTTCATTGACAATACTCTAGTATGTATTTAATTCTTCTTATTCGATATAGGACGGATTGCAACTTTCGCGACATACGTTATATGCATATCCTACCTGAGGTGTGCTTCTATGTAAATTCCTAAATATTTTACACTATTTACTTTATTTATTTTACATTTATTATCCTCAGTGTTTTTTATTTGTAGATGATGGTAAGATGGCACTTTGTTGGCATATGATGTGAAAGGAATAAAATTAGTTTTTTCAAAATGTATTGTTAATAACTTATTACCAAACCAGTCTTTGATTTTACAAAGATCATTTTGTGCTACGTTTCTTAGATCTGTCTAGTTTTCACTTGTATATATCACCTCAGTGTCATCAGCATAGCTCACGATGTCCCCTTCAAATTTTTGTTTGAACAAGTCTGCCAAATATATGTTAAAGAGTAAAGGCCCTATGATGCTTCCCTAGGGAACCCCGTACTCGACCGTTGCTATTTTACTGTAAGTATTCCAACTTTTTACCGTATGAGTTCTACCAGAGATATAAGATTCCAATAGGTTATATGATGGTCCTCTAAATTCTATGTTTTTTAAGGGTCCAGCGTGACTACTGTATCGAAAGTTTTTGACAAGTCAATAAAAATTCCCATGCAAGGTGTATTGTCGTCTACATGCTTTGACAGTCTTGTGGTGACATATTTGATCGCGTCTTCTGTTGATTTGCCTTCAACAAATCCAAACTGCTTTTCTGATAATATGCTTTTCTGTTTTATATAGTTATTTATGCGATTTTTAAGGATTTTCTCGAAGATTTTGGAGATATTAGATAATAGAGTGATTGGTCTATAGTTAGCCATGTTGGTCGTCTGCCCACTTCTAAATACAGGAAATATAACCCCATCTTAAAGCCTGAAGGACACCGTCCGGTATGGAATGCCCAGTTTATTATAAAAGTTAACGGGTCCGAAATTTCGATAGTAATTATTTTTAGAGTTTCAGCTCTAATTTCATCCCAGCCCGGAGCATTTTTATTTTTCAAAGAGTGTCCTCTAAGAAAAATGATTCTGTCTTTATTGTCTTTTCCGAAAGACGTAAACGATTTTGTTTATTGTTGTTTTCCTCTGCCAGGACTCTACCGATGCTGCTAAAATAGTCTACAAAGTGAACGGCGGTCAGCTTGCTATCGTTAACTCATTGACCAACTTGTCCTTCAATTTCAAGTATGGTATTTTTTGTGTATTTCCTTCAGACAGCTTATTGCCTACTTTCCATAATGCTGAAGAGTTAGATCCATTCTTTTGGATTTCTTTGGTTGTTGAATACTCAGGTCGAGTTCATTTTTTATCTTTCTATATTTAGCAATATTATCTTGTGTTGGTGAATTTTTTACCGCGTTATACAAATGTTTTTTTTATTGGCTAACTCCATATTAAGCTGCAATATTGAATGACTGTCCTGTCGTAGACTTTCACGGTCTAACTAGCGTTTGAAAAGCTATAATCTTTCAATGAGAGTCATGTTTTAGTAGTTGAGTTTATAAAAGTCATTGCATTTCGACAGTTTGAAAATTTAGTTGACAAGAATATGAAAAATACGAGATACTGTTTTTCCAACTGCTGAGAACCATTTCGAAATTATATATTATATTGTCAACAAGACAAGCAAACGAAGTGAGAAGAGCGAAAAAACTGCTGTTGAGAAATATGAATTGCTAAGCTACTGCACAGAGCTAAAGTGAAACTACAGGCTACAGGAAAGCTTTCTAGACAAAAACAGCAGCTTGTTTATTGATTAAATATAAAATAAATTCAAAGCAATTGCAGTCAAGTAACACAGAAAATATAAATGAAGCAATATTCTTTTCACATAAGTCGAATAACATTTAAGAAATGCTATATGGCTCTGTTAAAAAACTTCATTATTTACCTCTCCTTCGCAATGCATGTTTTGCAGGTACATGAATAATAAAAGACATTCTTATTTTTAAGGCAGAATACATAGCACGTTCTAGTGCATCACTTGCATCTGGTCCCTTCTTCAATATCATTTATATTTGTTATACACAAGGCCAATTATTGCTTTTATATTAGCTGTAACTAGAGACGCTCCTGATCCATCTAAACATAGTACTACAACTATTTAAAACTGTAATGACTCATAAGCGTGATCAACACGTGATCAGAGCTCGATCCCGGCTTCCAGTACAGCCGTATAGCGTACGACATATGACGTTTCTGTGGCTTTGCGGTGGTCAACAGCACAGACAGAGATGGAAATAATGGCTGATTGTTCTCCGCCGGTAGAACCAATGAAATCAAAGACGCGCCTCGACCGGCAGACTCATAGGCGTCGGCAACGCATTGGAACGTGTTTCGTTGAGCGATCGCTTATTGTGTGTTTTTATAAGAATTGTTGTGTGATTGTTATTGTTATGGTTTCTGTGGTTACTGTTTTGGTTATACTTAACCATGGAGAGTACAAATGGCACGAGTGGAAGTACTGAAAGCCAGGGAACAAGTAGACGGCTTCGTAAAGCACTGAAGAGGGACGCGAAAGAAATCGTGCTCAACGTGTTCAATTATCTGAACAGAACTATGTCGCAGGGAGATGCACTCGCGCGTTGTGAAAGTATGACAGGCATTCCAGAGTGGACCATTCGCAGGGTGGTGCATGAAAAGAATAAAACTGGAGCTACTACTGATCCAAAGTTTAATTTGAAGGGACGAAAGGCCGTTAAATTGGATGACGATAGCAAAATGGCGTTAAGGCGAACCGTACATTCATTCTTCTTTAGGAATGAGATACCAACCCTCAAGGCTGTACATGCAGCGATCAAGGAAAATGAAATTATACCCCAAATGAGCGTCGAGGTAATGAGGAAATCCCTGCACGAAATTAATTTTCGTTTCGAAACTCGTAATCGGAAGTCAGTATTGATAGAGAGACCTGAAATAGTCGCCTGGCGTCGAAAATACCTACGCGAAATTATTGAATATAGGCGACAAAGCAGAAAAATCTATTATTTGGACGAGACATGGGTAAATGCAGGTCACACAGTTAAAAAAACCTGGATAGACAAAAACGTAGTGAGTAACCGACAAGCAAGCATTGAAGGTTTGTCAACAGGTCTTCGTGGACCGTCAGGGAAAGGTCAAAGATTGATCGTAACTCATATTGGTAGCGATAGTGGCTTTTTAGAAGAGTGTGACTTGATTTTCGTCTCTAAGAAAGGAGGTGATTACCATGACGAAATGAATGCCAGCTGCTTCGAGAGCTGAGCCCAACTCTGTGATCGTCATGGATAATGCTTCCTACCATAGTCGTCGAGCCGAACGTGTACCGACTATGGGATCTCGAAAAAGTGACATGCAGCAATGGTTGCGCGAAAAAGGAATCCCGTTTGACGATTCATGTGTGAAAGCGGAATTGTATGAAAAAATTAAACAGCACAAACCTGCGAACATTAGTTACGTGACTGATGAGATGGCCCGTCAATGTGGTGTCACTGTGCTGCGGTTACCGCCCTACCACTGTGAACTGAACCCAATAGAGCTCATCTGGGCTCAAGTGAAGGGTTATATTGCGCGCCATAACACAACCTTCAAATTACCAGACGTTAAGGTTTTACTTGAGACTTCCATACAGCTAGTAACGCCCGAAGCTTGGCAGAATGCTATCCGTCATGTTGTGAAGGAAGAAACAAAAATGTGGCAGCTTGACCACATCGACACGATCATAGAGCCAGTTATAGTCAATTTCAACGAGGAAAGCGATAGCGACAGTTTATTACTGTCAGATGTAAGTAGAAGCGACGATGAATAAAGGTAATTCCCAAATTTTTGACTTACAATATGTTTCAAACCACTCTTTATTAAGCATGTGACAAATCTAGTTCACCCATGTTAAACATTCATACCCCGCCTATGAACAGCCGACTACTGGTAGTTAAGTGATGTTCACGTGAACATCGATGAGTCATTACAGTTTTAGATAGTTATAGTATAGGAGAATGTGTTTCGTACATAGTAGACTTCACTCGTTCATCGCATAACAATATTTTACTGTAAGAACACATTGATATGCCTTACCTCCTAACGTCACTAGTCCTTCTCCTGTCATTTGTGCGAAAGGTTCATAAAAACAATCCTTGTCCAATGCTTTGGTGCTGTTGATAACCTTTTCGATATACTTAGGGTTCATTAGACAGTACAGTAGTTTGTTACCCATCCAGAATTTTAAAATGTCTCTATATGAATCAATTTTGTCTGTGATTACCTTTAGTAGATCTGAAAAAAATCAGAAAAATATTCAAGCCGATACTGTGATTGTTAATAGTGAGTACTTTATTCAAAATACCATCTGGTTTGTGGGGTAATATCTATTATTTCAGACACAAGGTGACATTTATTTTTTAAAGATTATTTTTTCAAATGTTAACCTTCACTGCGGTTAGTTTTTTTTTCATATTTTCGTTGTACAAACATCATCTCCTCCGCATCAAAACAGACATGAGTGCTCGTTCACCGCTTGTTTAGCTTGTCGCTGACTCCCTAGGCATTCATGGCCCGCTGGCCAATAGGGCCAGGCGAGCGTGAACGTCGCGCGCTGGTGCTTGTTTTGACGGAGAGTAAATGACGTTTGTATACAGCCTAGGCAGCCAATTCATCGACCAAAAAGAAGAACTTGACTGATCGCCGAATTGTTGTCCCAATAAAGCCACGGCTTCGCAGTTGTGCTGCAAATAATCTACGATACTTCATTATTTTGACGTCTATTTAATAGAACAACTGATCGGGGAGTAAAATTAAAGTCTGTACTGTTAGAAACAACGAATTCGAATAGATTAAGGCGGAACCAAGCGTATATCTTTACACTGCATTGTTTGTTACATAAATTGCATAGTTTTAGCACAGCTTAGATAACAACCAGCTATGAAAAGTGTCAAGAACGGCCGCCATTTCAGCTGAGAATGTCGAATGTAAATTCCCCCAGTACAACGATAAGAGGTTCCAGCGTTTCGTAATGAATAGTCCTAGGAGGTGTTGCCGCATATCATGCTAGCTGCGGCAGATATGCGTTGCAATCAGAATAGATTAAATTGGTAATGGTTGAAGGCTATCAGTATTTACAATAAACGGAAAAAATTTTACTTTTGTTTCAGGGTGTCTCAGAAATATTTTCGTTTTTAGATCAGTCCTCTGGCGGAATACGCATGCTCCGGAGAAACGAGACAGTTGACAAACGTTTGGCAACATTGTTAAATTTTAGTTGCAATGGAGCGTTTTACAGGGCCGCAACGTGCTTTTTGTGTTCGCGAGTTCTATAAAAACAAGGATTCTTATGTGCTTGTACGTCGTTTGTACAGAAATCATTATAACATAGCAAGAATGAGAGATGTCCCAAACGCAAATTTAATTAAATATTGGGTAAGAAAGTTCGAGAGCACTGGAAACACGTGTATTAGTAAACCGCCTGGACGGCCAAGGTCAGCAAGATCGAACGAAAATATTGAACGTGTGCGCCAGTCCGTTAACGAGGATCCCCGGCAATCATTAAGACTGCGTGGAGCGTCTCTAACTTTGCATAAGTCAACTGTTCATCGCATTATTCGCAAGGATTTGCATTTTCACCCATACAAGATTGTTGTTACACAACAATTAAAACCACAAGATCCCGCTAATCGATTAGAGTTCTGTAGAACAATGAGAGAGCATTTTAACGGTTACAACAACATATGGTTTTCTGATGAATCGAATTTTCACATTAACTGGCATGTTAATAAACAAAACTGCCGATATTGGGCCGAGCAGAACCCGCAAAATCTTCATGAGACGCCATTACACTCGCCTAAAGTTATCGTCTGGGCTGCTATGTCAGGGCAAGGAATCATTGGCCCGTATTTTTTTGAAGACAATCGTGGCCAAGCTCAAACTGTAACATCTGAGCGCTACTGACACATGATTAGGACTTTTTTAACTCCAGCTATACAGAACCATGGTGGCTACAATAGAAACACGTTTTTCCAGCAAGATGGAGCGACTTCTCATGTCACGAATGAATCCTTGGATGCTCTTCATCAGTTATTCCCAGAGAGGGTCATCAGTCGCAGAGGAGACATTAACTGGCCACCGAGAAGTCCCGATTTGACACCAGCAGATTTTTTCTTATGGGGATACCTGAAGAGTAAGGTATACACCCCACCGCCACAAGATTTGAGAGAGTTGAAGCAAAAAATAACAGATGAAATAAACGCCATTCCTCGAGCAATGCTTCGGAGAGTGATCGAAAACTTCAGTTCGAGATTAAGAGAGTGTGAAAACATGAACGGTGCTCATTTATCCGATACTCTTTTCCATAAATAAAATTAATGTTTAGGCTTTCGTTTGGTAATAAATTTATCTTTGTAAAAATATTCTAAGTATTTTTATTTATGGCATAAAATAAGAAAATATTTATGAGACACCCTTTATTTATACAGGATGGCGCATCGAAAACGAAACAGACGCATTTACTGGCAGCTCAGTTTTTTTTTTTTTGAGGGGGACACAAGTTTGGCAAAAAATCACGTTAGCACGTGCAGCCCCCTAAGCGGGGGTGACACCACCCCCAAAATCTTAAATGGAAAGGGGGGTCGAGTGATACCTTATTTTAAAGATCTTTCAATTCCCTTTATAATGATATAATTAATGTACTTCAGTTCAGTAGTTTTAAAGATTTATTGATTTAAAGCTTAAATAAAACTAATACATCATCATTAGTGGAGATCAATACATTTGGCAGCAAAGTAATTTAAAAATGAAGAATGAACTGACCCGTTAGGCAAGTAAATGTTGAAAATGGCCACCATGACTCTCCATGCAATAATAAAGATTTTGCTCAAAACGTTGCCGCACATTTTGCAATATTTGAGGAGTAATTTGAAGGCACTCATTCACAATTCTTTGTCGCCGGTCTTCTAATGATGTTGACTGAGCAGCACAGATTTTGTTTTTTAAATGACCCCACATAAAGAAATCCAAGGGTGATAAATCTGGCGATCTTGGGGGCCAATTCTACGAATCCATCGATCTGGAAACGTCTGATCTAAATATTGACGAACACGTAATGCGTAATGTGGTGTGGCACCATCCTGTTGGAACATCAACCTATTCGCAATGTACCACCGATCATTCTGATTTTCAATTATTTCTGTTAATGCAGGATCTATGGCGTCTTCCAGTAATTCCAAATACATTTCACCGGTCAAATTTCCATGTAAGAAAAAAGGACCAACTAAATGATCGCCAAAAATACCATCCCAAATATTTAATTTTTGTGGCTGCTGTGTATGCACCTCATGATAAATTCTGGGATTAGAATCGGACCAATATCGGCAGTTATGACGATTTACTACGCCATTTAAGAAAAGGGAACATTCTTTGGAAAAGCAAGTGTTGAATAGAAAATGTTCATCGTTTATAATTCGTTCAGTCATATCTTCACAAAATTGTAATCGCCTATCAAAATCGTCTTCATTAAGTTCTTGTATCAGGTGAATTTTATACGGATGAAAACTATGGGCCTTTAGAATCCGTTGGACAGTACGTCGACTAACACCACACACAGTCTCCAATTTGCGGGTACTTAACGTAGGATCTACATAAACTTGCCCTAAAACCTCCACTTCTATTGCCTTATGGGATTTTCAATGTTGCGTTTTTATTGGCGACTGATCCAATTTCCCGAAATTTAGCTACAAGTTCTAGTACATATTTTCGATGCACGTTACTATTCTCATGTCGCTCATTAAATATTTCTGCTGTTCTATTAGCGCACTGATTATTTCCGAAAAATATTTCGATAATTTTAACTCTTTCTGTTGTAGAATATACCATGGTTAATTTATGTAATAAAGCGTTACAAGTTATTTTGGCAACAAAGTTTGGTCAAATCAATTGCAAACTATGTACTAAATTCCTATTTAAAATAAGTAGAGATATTTCCTTATCTTTCTTCTCCAATAGCTATTTTCAATAACAAAATGATAAATAAACCATGGGCGTAGTAAATTCTTTTAGTCAAATTTCTTCTGAAAGTAGTACAAACTAATCTGATGTACCTATTAAAGCTCATGCATTTTACATCATTATAAAGGGAATTGAAAGGCCTTTAAAATAAGGTATCACTCGACCCCCCTTTCCATTTAAGATTTTAGGGTTGGTGTCACCCCCGCCCAGGGAGCTGCATGTGCTAATCTGATTTTTTGCCAAACGTGTGTCCCCCTCGAAAACAAAGTCCACAGGTCTGAGCGTTTTTCCAAAAAAAGACTGAGCTGCTAGTAAATGCGTCTGTTTCGTTTTCGATGCGATACCCTGTATAGAAGAAATGAGGAACTAGACGAACACATCTCACTACCGCTTCATATTTTACAGCAGTAACATTTCATTTTCAGACATTTTCGCAAATTTGACCATAGCTTGGCGTTGCGAGGCGTACGTACCCTTAACCACGTGTATCTATTGCATTTGATGGTCAGCGGCTCAAAAATCCCATCCGTATCCGACAATTTTTTTTGTTTCTCTTTTACATTATTTTATTCTGACCTACAGTAGAACCTTGGTTATCTGAATCGCGATTATCCGAAATCCGCTTTATCTGAAACAGATCGCATACAATAATTTCTCCGTTTTAACCAAAGTTGTTCGGGAAATCGGCGCATGATCCGAAAAAGCCGCCGGCAGCCCCCTTTCGGCGTTTCCGTCATTGGATTCGCTGCCGCGTTTGCGAAATTCACTGGTATGTGTGCGTGTATGTTGGTTTTAGTCAGGTTCATAATCGCTAAGATGGAGCAGCATAGAAAAAACGTGGCAAGTGATTTGGGTGTGGGCGTGAGTACCATTTCAGAATGGAATAAACAACGCGAGAAAAGTGGTCTGTGTTCTGACATCATCGCAGCCGTCACGGAAAACTAAGAAAAAGGGGGATATCAAAAAGTGGATGATGCTTTGTATCTGTGGTGTACACAGAATCAAGAACGTGGAATACCAATTTCTGGACTAATTCTAAAGCAAAAGGCAGTCGACTTAAGTGAAGAACTGCCAGTTATTGAGGTGCCTGGCAACTTTAAAGCCAGTGATGGTTGGCTGCATAGACGGAAAAACGACACGGTATACGAGAATTAAAAATTTGTGGAGAAAAGTTATCTGCCGATAAGTCCGCTGCATTAAAATTTGGAGAACATTTTAAAAAATTAATGAAGCAGTATGGTTTAAATCCAGAACAAATTTACAACTGCGACGAAACGGGCCTAAGCTATAAAATTTTACCGGCGAAAAGTTCAGCTTCAAAACAAGAATCTGGAGCTCCTGGTTACAAACGCAGTAAAGAGCGTGTGACTATCCTTGCTTCTGTACACTCAAACTTCCTTTGGTGTTAATCGGAAACTCAGCTAAACCAATAGCATTTAAACAAGTCCGTCCCGACGCTCTTCCAGTGTGGTATAACAATCAAAAAAATGCCTGAATGGATGCCGCTCTATTTAAGGACTGGTTTTACAATCATTTTGTTCCCAAGACAAAACGATATTTGAATGAACCCGGATATCCGAGAAGATGTATGTACTTTGCTATTAGATAATGCTACGAGTCACCTCAGTGAGGAGCAACTTAAAAGTGGAGATATACGAGTGATATTTTTGCCTCCTAATGCCAGCCAATGGATCAAGGAGTTTTAGAAAATTTAAAACGCAGTGACAGACACTTATTATTAGAGCAAATTTTAGATGATGGTTGTAACCTCGTTGATTGTTTAAAAGAGATTAATCTCAAGAATGTAGCATATTGGATAGCAGAAGCATAGAGCCGGGTAAAAAATGCTACTTTACAAAAATCTTGCTCGAAAATAATTAAGCAAGAAATGGAACCTTGCGCAGACTATGATAATAACAACAAAAATTTACATCAGCTCGTCGTAAAAATAGCAGGGTGTTAAAGTCTTACCCAAGCAGATGTTGGTGAATGGATTAATGGTGATGAATCGGTGGAAGAATTAACGGATACACAACTAATAAAAACTGTTTGTAACAATGGCGATGATACAGTTTTGAGTGATGCTAGTGACAATGAGACAGAAATCTCTACCAAAATATCACATTCTGAGCGATTAGAAGCTCTACAAAAGGCGTTGACTTACGTCGAACAACAAGAAAATGCGACAGCAGCTGATGTGCTACTTATCAAACGGAGGGATATTGCTGCCAAAAATAGGAACAATGCAAAATGTGTACAGTTGAAAATTACTTCCTTTGTTACTGAATACTAAATATGTATGTTTGTATCCACATGTTTATATTTTACGTAACTTTATATAGGTATATACTCATTTAACACACGCATTTACTTTTTTCAATAAAAGCATTATAAGTCTAAATGTTTATATCCATTTTATCGGAAATTTCGATTATCCGAAAACACTTGGGTCCTCATTATTTCGGATAATCGATGTTCTGCTGTATTTCAAAATCAACTCTTATGAATATTTATTAGTTTATAGCATTTGATGTTTAGATTTGTTGAAGAAATTGATATAATTTGTTCCACAAATCCGAATAACGAAACGGGTGGCGCCATCCATCATCCAAGGATTAAAACTAGTTTTTGTTTAATAAATCCGAATGGCGCATCAGTAGCGCCGCCCATTCTCCAAAGGCTAAACCTGGTTAGAATAAATGATTTACAATAGGAAGCGCCAATTGTCAAGTATTTGGATTATGCTAACATAAGGTCATAGTTAACAACTTTGCCACTTATGCACCAATTTGAATTTCATAAAATCATAATTTTGAATACAAAATATTAAATTACGTTTTAGCGATTTTCTATTTATGCTTATAATTAGCTTTACCAGTTTCCAATCTATAGGTACTCATGTGTAACCTCATTATATTGTAACCTTATAAATGAGATGAAATAATTGTATACTTTTTAATTGCTCGGGCATTGTTCTTGTATTAGTAGACATATTTTTGCCATAGATGCATTATATAAGCCATTTTAGGAAGAAAATTTCAAGTCTCTTGATGCAGTTCTAGTGCGTGTAACACGTTTTGAGCATACATTTTTGTTTTCTCATCCATAAGTAAACATCAATTTTGAACAAACATGCTCCTTTTTTATCATTGGTTCACACAAACTACTCAAGATCATATCGCAATATTATAATTTTTACGATTGAACGCATATCTGTCGCCGCTAGCATAGTAAGCGGCAATACCGACTATTGCTGTTTAACAGCGGATTAGTGGAATAAATTACACCAATTTCTTCAAAAGATCTAAACTCCAAATGCTATTAACTAATAAATATTCATACGAGTTCATTTTGAAATAGGACACAATAAAATAATTCAACAGAGAAACAAAGAAAAAAGAAAACATTGTCGGATACGGATGGGATTTGAACCGCTGACCAAAAAATGCAATAAACATCGTGGCTCTGCGTACGCCTCGGGATGCTGGTATACAGACACTGATGTTCAAATTTGCGAGAGAGTCATCATATTCCAAGGACCGGCCCCTCCTACGATGATTTATGTGAAAAGGAGTAATAACGTTGCAAAACTTTCAGTAAATGTTCATGTGGCCGCAAAATAAAATTTGGGGACAAATTCCTTGATACCAAAATGGCATCATTTTAACGAAATTCTAGCGCTAACAGGGTACGCGGCAACACCACATATGACTACTCACTACGGAACCTCTTTCAATGTCTATCGAATATATGTAAATTTGAAATGCATTCTTAAACCGCAACCACTTGAAATAAATAGCATATAGCAATTTCAATCTCATCATACTTACCATTAGGATCAATCAGAAGAATATACGCAGCTCCTATGAATGGAAATGATTTAGGTCCAGGTACATTCTTAGAGCATAAGTACCATCTTCTTCTTTTCCATCTGTGTTCCGCATAACAAATACTCAATGCACAAAAGCTGACTACGAGTACGTAGAACAAGATAGTGAAGAAATACATTACAATTTTGTATCTATGGATCAGAGCGATGCTCTTCTAACTTATTGCTAGTTTTCAAGTGTAGTCGGTTGATAGGGAGAGTTCTCTTTTTTATTACGTGTGAATGATTCTTGGCCTTCATGTAATTTGCACTTGTAAAAAATAAGTATAGTGTTCTTTGATTAAATTAATACCATCTATTATTCCACGATTGTATGTAACAATTAAATCGTCAATTAAGAAAAAAGTTTACAGAGTTGATACGAAACGGAAAGAATTTGCCCAATGTCACTGTTGAGTGTTGATTTGAGGAAAACGTTTTAAAGATTTAAAAAGAACGTGGAATCACACTAGCGGCGAATAAGGGTAAAAAGTGCAAGGGATGCTAGTAAAGAGATCTACCTAGCCATGAACAAAAATTGACACTCACCAGCATAATATTTCAAATAGTCGCATGTGTTGTAACCTTACACACAAAGTTTGAGTTAATTTTGATAATCAGTTTCCAATTTATTATATTAAGTTTTGAAGAAAAATGTATCGCAGTTTCATAAAATTTCTGACTGAAGGGGGCCATTACCCGAAAACAATTCTTGAGGGGAAGGTTGCAGTCTATGGGGATGATGCACCATCATATCATACAATAAAATTTCGGTCGGAACAGTTTTGATATGGGAGTAAATCCATGGATGATAATCCTAGAAGTGGAAAACCCAAAACAGCAACAAACAATGAAACTATAAGAGGTTGAAGCAATGGTTCTCGAAGATCGTCGTGTGAAGGTCTATAGCATTACTATTGCAATATATTATTGAACACAGCGTAATAACCATCTCGAACGACAATTTGTGTAGTGAGTTCCAAGACTGATCACATCTGAACAAAGGCAGGTTTGAAATATCAGAAAGTCATTTGGAAACTTTGACCAATGATTCTGACTTTTTTGCACAAATCGTTACGGGCGACGAGGCTTGGGTGCATCTTAAGACAAAAACAGAATTGAAGCAGTGAGTTCATAAAGGGTCTCTACAGCTCAAAAAGGCACAGACGTAATCCTCCGCTGGAAAATTGATGGAAATAGTTCTTGAGAGATCAGGGGCCCCCTTCTCACTATGTGCCAAAAGGTAAAATTGTAATCTGTAAAGCAATCAAAAAGAAAAGACCCAATTGACATTGACTATCCTCCCTATAGTTTGGACTTGGCTTCGTCTGACTTGTCTCAGATAACGGCCTAAAAGCAGCCTTCGACGACTTTTTTATAAGGGTATACGTTCACTGGAGGAGAAATGATACAGGTGCGTTGGTGTAGGGGAGGTTGGGTTATATTGAAAATGCTTCGTCTTTTGTTTCATGGCTAGGTACACGTCTCTTCTAGTACATTTCGTCGATGGTTCTAGTTGCGTTGGTGGCCATGTTTACGAATTACAAACATAAAAATATATTCTGAAGTATCTCGAACAATTAAAAGTATGTAAATTTGCTTTCCCATCTACCTTGACAGCTTGACCTCTAGCTACACTAGCGCAACATAGAGGGATGAACATTCCTACTTACTACATGTACATATTGTGTATATGTACGAGTACATATGAATGTACGTATATGTACGATGTAGAGCCGATGACTAATGGTAGAAAAACCCACCGTCCACTGCAAGCATTGCCGTGGTGGGATGTCTGGCGAACCACGGAGTGGTTTTGAAGGGTATGCCGTTTCTGGAGAGAATCTCATACTTCGGGCAGGAAAGGCTGTCCAAGAAAAAAAGTGAGGAAAATTGGACATTGCTGCATTGCTACTAAAGAGTGGTACTACCTGAGACACATAGGGCAAAGAATTGCCGATCACGAGAAAATGCATGGAATTGAGTAAATGATGACATGTACAGGTATGCCAAGAAACAGGGGAAAATCGTATTAATTTCGAAAACACAAAAGTAGATATTTTTTTAATTTTTAAATCGGTAGCTGTAAGTCGATCGACTTTTGGTCAATTTGAATAAAGTCTGGAATCGTTAAGGACTTCTTTTCGGCTATACTCTGTAACTTTTGATACATCTCGATGACTCGATAATATAGTAATTGTCACACACACGCATTACATGTAAATTTCTTATCCCAGATAAATTCTATACTGTTAGTTAATTTAATTATTAGTTTATACGTTATTACGTCAATAATCAATTCAAACACACGCAATTTACGTTCAATATCTAACATTTAGGAACTAGTCTCATATCATATTAGCAAATTTCCCCGCAATAATTGTAAAGTTTGGTTTTATTGATGCAGGTTGTTCAAGGGGGTATTTAAAACGTGGACGCATAAAATGGGTACACCAATTTTTGTGGTAAATTTTTTTTATTCGACAACAAAGAATGAGAAAACATGTTTTTTTTGGTATTCAATCGAAAGTGCTGGCAGGAACCAAAAAACTCTTCAAATAAAACTTCTAGATATGTATGAGTATAAAATGCAGGTTTTGACACTTGCTGCTAATGCGAGGATAATTGCACGCAGCTATTTGAAATACAACAAGTCCGTAGGCTTCATACTTCTAACTAACCACAACAAAATTTGAGTCGATTGGTCAAGTAGTCTTTGACAATTTCTCATTGTTTAAACCAAAACACCTGTCTTCCGGCCATCACTACTAGCTTACTGAGCAATATACAGAATTCGATCAAGGGGCATTCTGTAGCAAAATACATGAGTTTACCTTGTCGACATAAATGACAAACCATTATGAAAGATAATTGCTGTTTTTATGCGGAATACGAGGTCACGTTTTTTTTCTTCTAAACTACTTATACGTTATCATAAACATTTTAAAACAAAGCGGATATGCCCTTCACCTATTGTTGCGAAGAAAACAATTTTTTTCAAGATTTCGTCATACTCTTGTGTATACATATTTAGAGCTGAAATGTTTGCACGGTCACAGATGAGCCCTAAATCTTATAATACAAATATTTCATACTGAAATGTGCTGAAGTGTTTATAAAGTTAGTACGCAAGTGTACGTGCGGAGTAAGACGAGCGACTGTGTGGACACGAATTTTCAACTTTCCCTTCTTATAGTTCAAGAACTAAGGTGCTGAAAAAACGCAAAATACATTTTTGGTAGAAAATTTTATTTTCTACAAGAATTAGTACAGTTTTATACACTTAGATTCTTAGTTTCATTCATAAGCAGAGATACATTTACCCTTTAATTTCCTATAATATGTTGCCTATACGACAGATTTTTATAGGAGCATGATGAAGACTTTGATTCTCTAAAAAACGTTTCTGATGTTTTTTCACGTAGGATGGACGGTTTTCCAAATTTTTAATCAAACGCGTTTATCAAAATGGCGGCAAATGCTCCAACCCTATTATGACGCCAATTTAAAACTATCATTAGGAAGCAATAACCTGACCTCCAAAAATTCCACTGTCGCCCAAATTGTAGGATTTCTTTATACAAAATCTCCCTACTTCCAATAGGAAAATTCTCTTGGGTCTGGGCGCGTAGTGTCTACCACCATCTGGGCTGTCCATACTATGAGTTGTACGACAGAATATAAAAGGTGGTCAAGAACATAGCGCCAGTATTATTTGGGTTCACGCGGAGCACAAATAATAATGTGATAAATCTATAGGGTGTTCCTTAATGATATGAGAATATTTAAGGGAGTGAATCTACATGAAAAATTCATGTTAGTTTGCTTTATAAACTACGGTCCAAAAATGTTTCCTTACCAAAACTCGGGGTGTTGAGGAAAAAAAATTGAAAATAATTAATATTTTCAGAACCGCCTCAGATATTTCACTGATATTTGGTACGTAATGAAAGTTAATAAAGTTGCATACTTTTCAATGCAAAAATAATCTTTAGCTTTAACAGTGACTTGTACGGTACGCCAATGGTTTGTTACCAAATCTAAATTATTTTTGAATTCCTTGTTCAATTTAAAACAAATGATTTATCTTGAATAGTTTTCCTTCGATGCGCCATTTTTGAGTAAAAAAATAAAAACCGTTCTATTGTCTAACTTATTGTTAATTTAATTGGAAAAATTAAACACACTAGGATTAATTAACAGCAATTGACAACATAAACATAACATTACAACCAACGAAATGATTACAAAAATTGTTGAAAATGGCCCCCTTCACTTGCATGCATGCTTCCGCCCTCCTTCTCATGGAATTGCGCACTCGTTGAAATATCCCTGGAGTGTTGTTTAGTCTCTCACAAGCTGCAACTATTCTTTGTCTTAATTGCTCTACAGTGTTAATGGGACTTGTGTACACTAGTGTCTTAAGATAGCCCCATAAAAAGAAATCTAAACTGTTGAGGTCTGGGGCCATTCTTGGGGCCCACCGCGGCCAACCCAACGATTTGGATAAACAGTTGGTAAATAATTACGAACCGCTACACTGAAATGCGCTGGTGCACCATCATGCATGTACCACATATTATTTCTTATTACTAACGGAAGATCATCAAGCAGCAAAGGCAACTGTTGTTGAAGAAAATTGAGGTAAGTCTGTCCGTCAAGTCGTCCCGGCAAGAAGAATGGGTCAATAAAGTGATAACCAATAATTCCTGCCCATACGTTAACCGAAAATTGGTGGTGGAAATGAGTTTCGGTTACGGCATAGAGATCTTCTTCTGCCCACAAATGATTATTGTGGAAATTCTGAATGGCATTTCGAGAAAAATTAGCTTCGTCCATGACCAGAATCATTGATTCAAATTGCGGATTTTGTCTAATTGTTTGAAGATACCACTGGCAAAAGGTCACACGCCTTGAAAAATCAATGGGAATTAATACCTGTACTCCTAAAATTCATTTAAGTGTCTAGCGATCTTCTTTGTACTCGTTTCAGGATGTTGTTCGGCTTCGTGCAGCACTGCTTCCTCAATTTCAGGTGTTCTCACACTTAGAGGTATACCTTCAGATATTCCTTTTCGGACAGAACCAGTTTCAACAAGACGACGATGAATATTAGAAAAGGTTGGATTATCTGGCAAAGCACGATCGTGATATCTCTGGTGATAAATCCGTCTGGCTTGCTCACCATTACCGTTGGCAAGGCCATATACGTTATGCATGCCCGCCATTTCTGGATTTGAATAATTCACCATTATCAACAAGATTGTAAATACTGAATAATGAAAAAGATGTCACAGCGAACAGATTTGAATAACAGAGGCTTGTCAGATGTCAAAAGCCAGTGACATATTCCAAAGCAACTAGATATTTATTGCTAAGTTGCATTCTTCAATTATTACATTAATTTTCTCGGACAATAGAACGGTTTTTATTTTTTTACTCAAAAATGGCGCATCGAAAAAAGCAACTCAAGAGAGATCATTTGTTTTAAATTGAACGGAAAATTCAAAAATAATTTTTATTTGGCAAAAAACCATTGGCGTATCAGTTTCTTCGTTAAAAATATTGAAGACAATACCCGTACGTACGCCACTGTTGAAGCTAAACATTATTTTTGCATTGCAAAAAATGCAATTTTATTAACTTTCACTACGTAC